CTGTTAAATATTAGAAGAAAAGGAGGAAGAAAAGAAGGAATCGTCAAGAAAAAAAGAACTTGAACTTAAAAGATATGGAAAATTTTCAACTGGGGATATTGCAAAAAAATTTTAAAAAGTGAAAGTATGTTCTGTGAACAGCAAAGAGGCAGCTGAACTTTTTATTGTATGATAAATGGAAAATATAATTTTAGCTTATTATTCCATTTTTATAGTTTAAAAAGCAGCAAGTACCTGAAACATTCAAAAGAATGTGAATTTTGCTCAACCTTTAAGGAAAATAGTATGTTTTATTTAAGAGAAAACTAGAAGACTCCCTTTAACTTAAACAAGGAAACAATTCTTCAGGTGTTCAGCTGAGGAAATTTTTACAAACTCACATTGAGACAATTTCTAGTGCAGATTGAAAAGAATAATTAAGTCTTACAGCCTCTAACATAACACACAAGCCATAAGTTTAAGCTAAATTTTTAGTTCGAAATGCTCAGACTATATAAATAAATTCATTACTACAAAGTGATTCATGCTGACAAATATAAACTATTTATTTTTTTCTGATAAGCTACATTAAATTGGCTTCCAATTTGTCAAATTCCAAGGGAAATACTGTAGTGTGTGTGTGTGTGTGTGTGTGTGTGTGTGTCCATATTCATGGGTCACTCTTACTATCCTTAAATTATTCCACTGTATCTTAAAATCTTGGGTATTCCTTATATAACTGAATTAATAGAGAATGGCATAGAATACTTTTGTAATGTTGACAAAGTCAAAAATTATGGAGAACTGGAATAAAAAGAATCATTTATTACTCATACCAATAAATCTATGCCTCAATCTACTTGGATTTGAGAATATTCTACATCAGTTAACTAGTTATGTATACTAATTTAGAAGGTGAATTCCTCTAAATCCCTTAAACACAAATCAGATAAAGAACATTTCTCTAGTTTAGCTTTTCTAAATCCTCTCAAAAGAAAGAAAAGCTTAACCTTTTCCATTTTATGCTACAATGTTGTTTAGAGATAGTATAATTCAAAAAATCTCCAAAAAGTTTTATTTTTATGTGCATGTTTACATCTACCTCTCTGGATCTTGATTGTGAGAAACTCAACACAGAATCTGCATTATTTACTACTTACTTTGTTTATCACAGTAGTTCTAACATGAGAGAAGGCACTGAGACAAAAGCTGAGATATTTCAGAATCATGGAATAATAGTGGGGAGTAAAGGTTATAGAAAGGTTGACCAATGGGTACTAAGTTACAGCTTTAAGTGAGTTAGAAGTTCTGATGTGCTGTTGCACAGTGAGGTAGCTATAGATAGCAATCATGTTGTCCATTTAAAAAACCTAGAAGAAAGGATTGTGAATGTTTTTTTTTACATTTTTTATTTATTCTAATTAATTATACATGACAGTAGAATGCATTTTGATACATCACACATAAATGGAGTATAACTTCTCATGGTTCTGGTTGTACATGATGCAGAGCCACACCGGTGGTGCAATCACATATGCACATAGGGTAATAATGTCTGCTTCATTTTTATCCTCATACCCCTTCCCCTCCCTCCATTACTTTCTATCTAATACAAAGTACCTCTATTCTTCCCTAACATCCTCCCCACAACCTCCCATGCTTACTGTGAATTATCAGAGAAAAGCATTCAGCCTTTGGTTCTTTGGGAATGGCTTATTTCGCTTAGCATGGTATTCTATAGATTTTTTTGAGTCAGTGTTCTCTAAATATGACTGTACATCTGATTCACTTGGAAAATTGATGTAAAATAACAATGCTAAGCCCCATCCCAGATCATATCTATCAGGTTTTCTGGGGATAGAGCTTCAACATTGCTATTTTTGCTTTAAATCATTTCAGATTATTCTAATACACAGCCAAGATGGAGTACTATTTTAACTCCCAATCTATTTTTGTGATTTTTACCATAAAAAGGTGCATGTTTGAAGAGCTATATATGTTTTATTAGATTTGAACACAAAGGTAAAACACAATAAACAAACTATCCTTTCACCCCTTGTCATTCTCTACCCCATTATGCTGTATTTTTTCTTTAAAGCACTCATCATTGTCTGATTTTTAAAAAATTTTTATATGTATTTATCATTTTTTTGCCTCATCAAACCAGGAGTTCATCTATCTTGTCCATGCTAAATCTCAAGTACCTGCATACTCAATAAAGGCTTATTACATGGAGGGGAAAAGGAATAGTAGAGGTAGTGAAATAAGAAAAGAAATATCATTCATTTTTTTTCCTTCTTCATGGAACAGTAAGGTCAGAGTGACCTATACATTCCTCAGATGGATTTGATAACAGCACATCTATAAAAAGCTCCAACACTCTAACAAGAACTAGTGTGACCCATCTAAATGCATAGCAAGGGCTATATGTGAGTTTTTTCTTTTCTTTTCTTTTCTTTTTTTTTTGTGTGTGTGTGGGGGGTAATATTTTAGTTAATCAGCTTGCTAATCCTTCTTATGTTTAGAAACAAGAATGGTTAGTACAAAATACCTGAGCAGGTTAGTTTGTGCAGGTTTCTTGGTGGCTGCCATATTTTCTCTGTGAAATATGAAGACGAAAATCAAACTCCATGGGTATAATCAATATCACCAAAATGTATTATTCAGAGTCCAACTGGATATAGAAAGGACGGGTCATTTTCAATTTTACTTGAATGGCATGGGTTATTACCTCATGAGCTCCTTGCATACTACCAGAGCCACCTCTGCTTCATTTTTTTCACTGCTTTAAATTCCTGTCCTTTTCATGTGCATGACTGCCATGGCTGGATATCAAACTTTTTGCTGGTTTTATTACCTCTTTCTCCACATTAAAAATTTTTCATAGATTTCCAGTTATAGTTACCATTGCAGAGTTCTTAAGAGTGCATAAGAATTTCAAACAAAAGTGAGAAATACACACACACACACACACACACACACACACACACACAATAATGCATATATTTTTAAAGAAGTAGTTTAAACCCTTCTTTCTCAAGCAGTAAAACTGCATTTTAATAGTTGGTAAATCTTGACTAATAAATAATTCTTTGAAGAAATAATGCCTTTTATGTTTCACTATTTAATGTGATCATCTCACACTGCAACCTAATGTGAGTTACTTCAATTGCTTTTGTACTTGATGAGGTACCAATTTTATAGAAAAAATAAATCACTGATATATGTCATTGACTTAATACTATTTAGCAGCAATTCTTACATAGAATGTGGTATATAATGCATTTTTAAAATTTCGTTAGTATTTTAAACACCAATAAGATTGTTATATATATAAAACTAATGGTAGTATAAGCAATGTTGGAACTAATTTCCAAATGAGATTGGTATAATGAAGCATCAGGTATAAAGAGAATTTTAGAGATTTTCATTTCAGTTTTACCAAAGTTTTAAGTAGTTATTTACAATAAATTCTAGTTGGTTAAGATAATGATTTATTATGAAAAATAAATGATTTATGATCTCTTCACAACAAACATAATCAAATACAAACACACTCCTATAAACACACATACACATATGCATGCACATATATACATGCAGAGACATATACACATACGGATATAAACAGAGAACGTGCTATTGCAAACTTTTTTTTATCTGTTTTGCTTTATTTTCTGACCTATGATATTGCTTTTTATATTGCAAGTCCTCAATGATATTTTTTTTTAGAAATCTTAGTGAATGAATGAAAGGAGGAAAGCATAAATGTATGAAGAATTTTTATACAAAGAAATGTTTAAAAATACATCTCAGTCTTTGAAATACAGACATTAAAAGAAAGCAATAATTTTATGGGTGTTTATTGAGTATGCTTTCAGGATTTTAACAAAGCCATTAGATAATATTGCAATATAAGACAGTTTGTTTTTTTCTTTACGGGTACAGAGGGGATTCACTACAGAGCCATATCTCTACCTGTTTTTATTTTTTTATTTTGAGACAGGGTCTCACTAAGTTTCTCAGGGTCTCAAATTTATGATCTTCCTTCTTCAACCTCCAAAGTTTCTGGGATTATAAGCATGTGCCACCATACCTGACTAAGATAGACACATTTAAATAAAGGTATTGCTTACTTGGAAAAATATACTAATTTTTTTAAATGACATTTTTCTTAACAAGTTGATATTAGCTACATGAAATTATATCTTTATGTGAAATGTTTGGCATTTAGAATTTGCTTTAAATTGTACCTTATGTGAGTTTTTATAGCAGCAATATTTATATTTCATATGCTAAAATATGGCTATATTGTTCTTGTGAATACAAACCCAGTTCATTATAGAGTATATATTTATAAGTGAATGACTTTATAAGGAACCTAAGTATAATTATGTGCAATTAAAAGAAAATTGAAATATTAAGAAAAGAGCATTCACCTATAGCAATAGAAATTGCTATTACAATCAGGCTACTTAAGATGTAGGATGGAGGTCATATTCTTAGTCATCTTCATGCTCCACTGACAAAAATCTGTGCTTTCAGCTTTTCTCTGTAGTAGGTCCTATATCAAGGACTCTCAGGATATGTGTCCTAAACTGTATAGGCTTTTTAATATTTTATTTTAACTTGATAAACATACAGGCAAAAAAAAATGTCTATTAATGTCACTTTCTCCCAAGAAACTAGTGTGTCATATATAAAACTAGCAATACTGAAAGATGGGTACATGGAAAATATACATCTACTATCAAGACAATTTTTGTTTTTGAAGAATGAATAAACCCACAAAGAATTCCTATAGTCTACAGCTGCATATCAAAGCAGCTGGCTAGTGTAATGCTCTGCTGATGGTCCTTGTCACACAGGAACTTGGAGTGAAGGAGACAGCTAGCCAAGGTCATGCCAGTGTTGCAGTGAGAAGCCATTTACTAGGGATCTTGATTGAAAGAGCAGCAAATGCATTGCACATTAGCTGCACCTCCCATCTGGCTATTATTAACACTTGTTCAGAATATTTGTCCAAGCATTTACATCTAGCCCACCTTGTCATCATTCAGTGTCCTCAAAGAGCAGAAATATAATTATCCAGCTCAGAGAAAACATAAAGTGATTTTAAATCACTGCGTGACACAAGATGGAGCTGTAGAATGCAGAATTGTGCAGCAATTCTGCAGCAAGAAAACGAGTGAATTCTGAGGCAAAGGTAAGACCCTCACATGCAGAATAGATTTGTGTATGTTCTCTAACAAGTGTGCTTGACTCTAGTTTCATTTCAGAGGTGCCCCCTTAAATTAATTATATAAGTAAAATGTGAACTAGAAAAAATAAAATGCTGGCACGTAGGTGACATGTAATCAAATACTAGAAGTGAAATTGCTATGCAGCTTAAAATATGGATTTTGCATCAAATTAACATACACTACAGATAAAAAACAAACTTGCATTCCCATTATTTGTGTCTACTTGGAAACTATGGTATGGTAAAATCTGTTTTATTTTGACTCTTCTGATTTGGAAATAGTTCTTCCAGTTTTTTGAAATTTAAAATAACAGAGTAAAGATTTTCTTTTTCCGGTTAAATTCAAATGATATTATTCAATTACTAATGAAAATTTATCTTATTTTTAAAAAATTTTACACTTATTTTGTCTGAATGCTGTTAAAATACGAATAGCTTAATTAATATACAACTCTATGCAATTTATTTAGTCAATTAGGAAGTCCCTTCCAAAGATTATCTCACCAGATTTCACTATAACTAGAATTCGAGATAGTGATAATAATATGAACAAAATTCATTTATTTCCTTAGATAAACTGTCTATGAGGAAAAATAATTCAAATAAAATAATATCTTGCACTCTTATTTACTATGATTATCAAATTGTTACATATTTGTTTAGATGTAAAATACTAATCATAGAAATAATTGTCTAATGTGGGATCATATATATGACTGTCAGAAAAATCATATAGGTTCGAAAACACTATAGAAACAAAGTTGGAACAGTATTAATAGAGAAATAGCCAGCATAAGTTAGAGAAACAAGTTAGCAGTTCTATTTTTTTTATTTTAGCAAGATCTTATTAAAAACAAGGAAGTGACAGAAGGACATCTAGAAAAAAATAGGTTTAGCAAAACCATTAGAAGGCAATATTTTTTTTCCCTAAAGTTCATGTTTGTGAATTAAATGTGCCTGTGAAATCTCATTACAAGCAGGTTAAATGTTATGTTTTCTATTTTGTGGGTAATGGTGCCTGCTACACTGATTGTTTCTGGAACCCCATAAAAGGAGGATGAATCGTAAGATGTCTGTGAATAGAAATCAACAAGCACACATGACCAGTGCAATAAGGTCTACTTTATCAGCAAAATAATCTTATCACCACTGGAAATTTACATGTAAGTGTGAAGTAAAATAAAAGCTTCCCTCATTGCATCCATTTCATAGCTTTTTAAAAAAGTGTGATTAGTAAAACTGCAAAAAAATGTTTATAAGCAAATATATAATAAGCTTCATATATTTAAAAGTTAATATTAGTGAATATTAATTTATTTTTACAAGCTGAGCACATCAACAAAATCAAGATAATAAAATAATTTATCATCCTTAAGTGTCCTAATACTTTTCTAATTCTTTCCTCCTTCAAAATCTATCCCTCAGGAAATGATTGCTTTTTGTCACTATAGATTAGTTCGTATTTACTGGAAGTTTATAAATGAAATTATAGAATATTTATTATTTTTCTGTTTGCCGTTTTTTTTTACTCAAAATAATGACTTTAAGTCTCATGACTGTTGTGTGTCTCAATATTTTGTCCATTTTAATTTTTGAGTAGTATAACATTCTATGGATATATCACAGTTTATTTAGGCACTGATTGATGGACATGTGATTAGTTCCTAACTGTGACTGCTTTGAATATTTGAATACAAGTCTTCATGCAGGATTGTATTTTTATTTCTCTTGGACTGTCTCTTTCTCTATTCTAGGTGATGGAACCACAGGCTATTCTAGGCCTTCTCTAAACTCCAAGGATTGTTCTATCTGTGCATTTCTGCTTGTTCTTTCCTTAGCTTTGATAGGTGCTAATGAAAATCAATAAAATAAGTCCTCAAGACTTGAAGGGAACTCTTTGCAGCTTCCTTTGTTTAGGAGTGAGGTTCTCCCTGGGACTCTTCCTTGTGAACTATCTGTACCTCCTCAAACTTTTGTCTCCTCAGCTTAGGGTGGTGGTGGGGCTCTGATTTCATTTCAATATGCTGCAATCTGGATGTTCCATGTCATAAACTGATGTAATTTTAGGGTCTACCTTCCTCCTTTCTTTCTTCTGAGGGATCACTCTCCTCTGCTGAATGGACAGTTACATTTAATATGTTCAGATATTTTGTTGGATTTTTTTTTAAAGTTACTTAATGAGAAAGTGTGTGGGGTAAGTCAGATTCTTGTTATCCCATCATGGACAGAAGCATGCATAACTTATAAACCCTTCAATTAAAAGTCAACATTAAAAAGAGGTGTTTTCTACTGTCAGAGGCTACTTACTAGAGGACTTTGGAGAGATGGATTGGGAATGGTGTTTGCTGCTCACTGACAAGCTGGCAGAGCTAAATATATCTGTCAACTCTTCATTCTGTGTGGACTTTCAGTAACTGGAATATTGCTGAAATCTGTGGTCTGGTTTCTGCTGAAATACTTTTCTGTCTAAAGGTAAGAGGTAATTCTCTCATGATAATCAGGAAAACATGAATGGAATTTATGTTTCCTTTAATGAGTGCAAGATTTAATATCAACTTAACTCTCTGTCTCCCTAAATATTTCTCAGTTTTCGTTTTAATTGTTTTTGTTTATTTGTTCTTTTTTGTTTTGTTTTACCAGTCATGGGTAGATACTGGGTAAGATAGAAAAAGTAATGTTATTTTGCCATATTGACAATAAATACAGTTCAGTTCATCTTTTTTATATTACACACTTTAAAAAAAAGGCAGTCTCTTTCCCAACAACTTTGCCCAATGGCATCATCTCACTTCAACAAAGTACTTAAACTGTTTTATGGAATGCATTCAACATTCAATTCTATTCTATCACTGGGAAAGGGGATTGTTACAAAGAGGACTATGATGTATCCCCTGTCTTACAGAACTTATAGTCTGGTTTGGAAGACTGGAATTTATAATAAAGGATCAAGTTATACAATGAGAAATACTGAGGAAAAGGACCAAGTTATACAATGAGAAAAAAAATGAGGAATCTGTCAGAGTAGCATCTCCAAAAACACGTGACTTCAGTCCAAAATTATCTGTTGAGTGGCACCAAAATTTGCAGCAATAAACACATTTCCATTAGTTGCATATTGTTTTTTTGTGTTTTCCCTACAGATATATATTCAACTTTACCTAGTTTTTAAGTAAATACATTTCAGAAATAACATTTTTTTAAGAAAATGCGGAGTATGTGAAATCAACATTTTGATTAAATTTCTCACTGAATTCAGTATTTTGAGATTTAGATGAATTCAATTTTAAAAAATAAATGATTAGGAAAACAAATATTTGGACCGTGTGGTGGCAATAAACCAAATGTCACATACTTTAATAATCCTCTGTTTTCCTCAGCTTTAAAATAGAAATATCATAGAAAATACTGTTAGATTTAGCAAACAAATACTAATTGAGATTTATTCACTCTCACTTTCATTAATTTTTGCCATATTTATAAATTTTAAATAATGATTGATTGATATTAATGGAATACACATTGCTTAGAAACGTATTTGAAATTATGTTTTACATTAATAACATTTGAATGAGACTGCGTGAATTAGAATTTGAATGTTCTTAAATGGGATTAAATTGAAGATCTGAGAAAATTGGTATCATTAGAAAACACTTTAACTTTGATTATTCCTACTGCTGTTAACTTACATTCATATGCTTTATTACTAACAGAAAAGAATGTTCATGTAGTAATCGAAGAGATGAAGTGGAAACAGCATGAAAGTCACAAAAAATAACTTGGATAAAATTACACTAGCAAATGAAACAATTTTAGAATCAAAGTTTTCAATAAAAATTTTATTGGGGAGAAACTTTTTAAAAGAAAATATAAATATATAAATAAAAGTTGAAAATTTCATGTGGTACATAATTTAATTTGCATATGAAATCATCTTGAAATGACAGGAAAAAAACTATAATTTTCCTAACCTGTTAGATATCAATGAATGGTAAAATAGTTCATATGCTCCCAAAATATTTAATGACCCGTAGACTTATCTAAAACACTTACAGTTGAAATATAAATTGCATAATGTTAGCTGTGTCTGGCATCTTAATTTCAAACATAACTTTAAAACTTTTCATATAAAACATTAAGCTTGAGAAGATTTAGTCATTATGTTCTTTATTTATTTATGAGTTAATCAATAAAAAGTCATATAATTCAGCATTTAATTTTGTGAAGAATTTTATGTAATTTGTATTCAGTTCAGTGAATTTCTGCAATTTCTTTGATGTTTTGACAGCAAATAAATGTATCATTTTATTCTTTCATATTTTGAACCCAGTGTTTAAGAGAGATCTTGTGAAAGTATTTACAGCCCTCAAGAACATAACCTGAATATTACAAGGATATTATAAGATATGAACTATTTTGAGCAGCTCCAGATTGAATTCTCCATGCAGAAGATGGCTAAATAAAAAATGGAACTTCCACTATTAAAAGCTACTATCTTTTTAGACTCCTTTAGTCTCAGTTGCTCAGCAGCAGTCTTCCAAAGCTGAAATGATTTCTCCCCTTTTTGATCAAGACCATGAGAATGCTGTGTTTGGGGACTCAAGCTGGCATCACCTTCCCAGAGTTTCTTCCTTCAAAGTAGGTAGTGATGCAATTAAATGGGCAGTGCTGGTAGTAGTAGATTGGGGGAGGCTGACTTCAAAAGCCTCAAAAGTAATGCTGGTCCTCCAAGTATTTCTCCAGGGACTGGCTGGGATGGTTCTTTTCTGGAACTTGACAGACCTCTGTTCTTTTTGCTCTGCCACTCTTGGAAAATTGAGTCAAAAGTTCCCCTCGGGAACTTTGCTGTATTTGTAGTCATTGCATTTTACCTCTTGAGACTCTTCCACAAACTACTGTTTTTTAGTTAGAGAACACAATAACTTTTCATTGTGACTTTGTGTGTGTGTGTGTGTGTGTGTGCATTTTAATGAAAATAAGAGTAAATATAAAATATAAATATGAAAAGAACCTTTGATATAATGTGCTCAATGCATATTCAATAGTACAATAATTCCCTGTCAAGTACCTGTCTAGTAATCCTAGCTTTCCTGAGTGCTGGGGATGAAATGGGGAATAATTCACTGTCCTGCTGAGAGGGAACACATCTCATTATTATCTTATAATTACTGGCATTATATTTTAAAAATAGATTGTGTGTGTCCCTCTCTTAAATTAGCTATATGAATAATTCAAATGTAAATGCAATATAAGAGCATAAAAATAAGATTATTCAACAAAAATATACAAAATAAAAGGCACATTCTCCCTTTTACAAACTTAAGACCCTTACAGAGTTTATATAAATTGCTTTCCTTCACTGAAAAAATTAGCAAGGGAATGTTGCTTTGTCATAAAATCACTGAAATTTCATCAAATAGGTGGACCTAATGTAAATACTTTATCAAAGATCATTAATTTTTTATTTTATTTTTGATTATTAAAAATTTTGTCACACTTATATAGGTAAATTCAGGAGAATGTGATATTATAGGTCCAAGTCACAGAGGTAAAATTGTAGCCTCAAAGAACATGTTCTTATTTATAATTTTGATTCATATTGTTATTGATTGAATCATTCAATAATTATTAAGTATTTACTATATACCAGATAATACTATAATTTCTGGGAAATACAGTAATGAAAAGTAGATAATGTCAGCATATTTATGGAGTTTTCATTCTAACTGGAATGGATAAAAGAATAAGTAAATAGGTATATATTTATATAATTTAGATAAATGCTATGAAGAAAAATGAATGATGGCCAAGTTGCTATCCTTTGTAGGTGGTCAGGCAAATCCACTCACATAAATGACATTAAAGCTTAAAAGGCAGGAGTGAGGTAGACATGAGGATGTATGTCTGAGAATTACTCTCCAGATGTAAGAAAACATCAAGTTCAAATAATCTGATCCGAGAATCCGTGTTTTATATAAAGAAGATGGAGGAGATCAATACAACCAGGATGGCTCAGAGCAGGGCAGAAGTCTAGGAGATGAGATGAGAGAGGTTGTGAGAAATCAGATCATGTGGGACCTTGTGGGTTACTATAAGAGCTTGTCCTCTGAATGGAAAAAGCTAATGTGATTTGCCTAATATTTTAAAAATTTGTTCCAGGAGTGAGTGGTGATGCATACTTGTAATCTCACTTACTCAAGAGGCTAAAGCAAGAGATTGCAAATTCAAAGCTAGCATAGTCAATTGAATAAGACCTTGTCTCAATATAATAAATAAACACATAAATTGCATGGGATACAGCTCAGTGGTAGAGTGTCCCATATATATATATATATTTGTGTGTGTGTGTGTGTACATAATATTATCCAATAGAAATATATGTGTGTATATATGCATATATATACGTACACACACACACACACACATAAATGCACTTATTTATTCCCTTTTTCCTTTTTCACTACTTAGGATTTCATCCAGGGCTTTGCACATGCTAGGTGAGCTATATTTCCAGCCCCCATATGTACATTTAATTACTCATTACTGGATGCATTTTGGAAGAAAATGTTGCCTAGAAGATGAATTATTTTAAACTACCCATATTGTCGATGTTAGAATTGTGTTCTCAAATATATTTTAGAAATTAAGATTTCACATATTGATCCTATGTTTTCTTCTAGCAGTTACAAAGTTTCTAGTCTAATTCCCAGGCCTTTGTTTTACTTTGAGTTGATTTTTACATAGGGTGAGAGATAGGGATTTACTTTTATTCTTCTACATTTGTTAAGAAGGTTATCTTCTCTCAAATGACACTTCACAATTGCTAGAAGAAACAGGGTCAATATGCTAACATATTGGCAGAGACATTGATTTTCTTTAAAAGACCCCTAAATTTCATGAAATAAAACAAAAAATCAATAAGTGATATAGAATTAAGTTAAAAAGCTTCTTCACAATAAAGGAAACAAAAGTATAAAGAGAGGGTCTACAGAATAGGGGAAAATCTTTGCCAGGTGCTCCTTTGACAACAGATTAATATTTAAAATATATGAAGAACTCAACTTCAGAAATCACTGGTTTGTCTTCTGTTCCTATGTTTGTCTTTACAAGAATGTCACAGAAATGGAATCACACAGAAGGTCGCCTTTGGAATCCAGTTTCTTTCACTTAACACAGTGTGTTTGATATGTCTACGTGTTGCTAAGTATAGTTCCTTTTTGATTCTGAGTAGTAGTTCATTGTTTGTTTATCTTCCCCAGTTGAAAGGCATTTGGATTGTTTCCAATTTTTAGTAATCAGAATAAAGACACTATAAACATTCACAAACATTATATATATGAACTTAAAACCACCCAATTGATAAATAGGAAAAAAAAAGAAAAACTGAGCAAATATTTCTCAAAAAAAGGAAATACAAGGGCTGGGCTTCTGGCTCAGTGGTAGAGTGCTCGCCTTGCATGTG